AAAAAAAAGCGGTGGAACACATGCTTGTGTCCCAAGTCCCAAAGGCAGTAACTGGCGTGGGCAGCTCCAACCCATCTCACTCGGTGCCAGCCCTGCACCCCAAGCCCAGAGCGAAATGCCGTAGGTTGAGGTACCGACGAGTCCCCCAGCTCAGCTCCTTTGCAGCCCAGCACACCAGCCCAGCTCAGCACCTCGGTCACCCAGCACCATGTGGAAGAAGAAATGATGCACTTACCTCCCTGCGCCAAAGGCCTGGCCACACATCCCCTGCAGAGCAAAGGAGAGGAAGGGATGCCCCACGCTCAGCAACCAGCAGCATTGCAAAACCGCCCTTGAAATCCAGGAGAGCTTAGCAGCAGGAGGCAATAAGAGCCCTTAATTAATTAGCGTGTATTTGTGCAGCAGGAGAGCGTTCCCTGTAAGGCTGCCCCGTGGTGCAGCATGCTGGCCCCCCCCAGCATGCTGCCCACCGCTTGTGGCATTGCTCCACGTCTCACAGGGAAACTTTCATCCTATTTTGTTTTCACGGCAGGCAGAGGGGGATCTCACACCACAGGAGTCCAGGGCCAGTTGAAAAGCACCAGCAACATCTCTTGGCTCAACAGCGTGGCACGAGGCCATCTCCCATCAGGAACGCACACACCCATTCACAGGGACCCAAGCACCTGCGGCAGGATGGTGCTGCGCTCTCATGCCTGGCTGGCCCGCTTAGATTTCAGCAATGAAAACATCCACTGCCCTTCACAACACAAGGGCTTGTTTAGCTGCCTTGGACAGTGGTTAAGATTGGTTTCAGTGATTGAGATCAACCGCTCTGAGCGGGCCTGGGCAGCCAGAAAGGACCAAAGGCATAGGGCAGTGAGGGAGAGCATCCATTCACCACCCCAGCTCCCCAGACAGAAACCAGGCAGCTTCCCTGGGACAGCTCACAGACACACAGAGATGTCTGGGTAAAGGCCAAGCCACACACATTGCCCAGTCTTGCAATGTTTTCCCCAAATTGCCCCAGCAACATGAAGGAATTTCCCCCTTCACCCAGAAGTTGGGGCTGGGACAAGCTTAACTTCCAGGGGTAAGGGATGAGCCTGGGGATGCGGCTCCCTGCGTGGCAAACACCACCCTGGAACAGGAGCTGTCTCTGCTCAGCCACTACACCCCCCAGCACACCACCTCCTGCAAGGACAAGGCTAGCCCAGGGCTCTACACAAGAGCAGCAATTACCTGCACTTCTGTTCTCCGGCTGGGTTTTAACATGCCCAAGTAGGTATCTCAGTTTCTAAGGCAGAGTACATGATGCCAGCTCTGCTCCTCCGGACAGCAGCAAATACCTTTTAGACGTTTCTCCAGCCTCCCAAGCATTCAGCGCCTTGGGACGGCTGTACTTTGGAAGTTTACCCACTTGTCACTTTCAAACAAAGGTTCCATCAGCTTCAGGAAGCAGACAGGCCAGAGGCAGGACTGGTGGCACATGGCACACAGCCAGCGCATCATCTCTGGTTACCAGGGACTCGGGGCACAGCAGCTGGGTGAGTCCTTCCGAGCTGCCAGTCCCCATCCCAGCCCACAGCCCTGGCCCCCACTGCTTCTTCGGCAGCCAGCATTGTTTACCTGCTGAAGGTCACAGGTAGTTAGCAGGCAGTGAGGTGTGCAGGATGGAGGTGGTTTGTCTTCCTCCATATCTACAACCACTGCAGAGACCCCCAACCCCTTCATGCTGCAGCTGCTGCAAGAAAAAAACATGAGGCAAGAACAATTGGTTTCAGATTTTTATTTTTTTGTAGTCTTTAAGCAGGAGTGCCTGAAATAGAAACCATGGCGAGTCCCATCAAGGGGAATAATTTGATAAAGACAGGGCAGGCAGTTGTTCCTGCGCCATGCCAACCTGTATAAACATTATCTGTCACTGTTCAGTAACTAGACGGTTTTCAAACAAGTCCATGAACAGTCACAGACTACACAGAACAACATGCCAGTTCACAACAGGAAGCAACTTATGTGTACTTCTTGATTTCATCGTATAGAACTAAGACAAAAGCACCACCCATTCCTCGGAGTACATTCGACCATGCACCTTTGAAAAACGCCTTGGAGCCCTCGTCCCGGGCAATCTTCCGCCAGCAGTCAATAGTGCCTGTGTACATTACGTCAGCTGCAGGAGACAAGACAGCGTTAGGAATTGGATGCTTGTGCCCAGGGCAGACCTACCAGCTTTATAACATCAAGTACCTCCTATTTTTTGACTGACTTTCTCCAGTTTTAGCACATCAGAGAACAAGACCGCCCAGGAGATATGCTGCTGGTGTTGCATTACCCCTAGGAGACACTGGAAGGACCAGTTTGAGCAGAAGGCAGCTCCTGTTTGCTTTGACACCAACACTTCCAGACCCAAAAGCTATTGCACAGTCAGCCAGGCCGCACCTGCGACTGGTGATGTCTCCTTGGCCCAGAGACACTAGTTTGCAACATCCTTGGGCAAGTTCTGCTGTTCCTACTTACTGACAGATATCTGACCTGTGCACGCCACCTTACAGGCATGCCAGGCAGACTGACCCATCCGTGCCCCTGCCTGACATCCACTTCTGCACCCCTCTCAGCCCCCACTGTTTACAAGAAGTGAGGGCACCTACAAGGCTTGGTGAAAGCCAAGCCACTCCACCTTCACCTCAGCTCCACCACCAACCGTTCGTTCAGGGATGCCCGACACTTCCTACACCAGGAGGTAGAAACTTACTTCCTTTACGGCCAGACTGCATCATCATGCGACGGCGAACTGTATCAAAAGGGTAGGAGACCAAACCGGCAACAGCGGTGACGGTCTGAGCAATCATCCAGCTGACAACGATGTGGGTGTTCTTTGGGTCTGGAAGCATCCCTGCGGGAGAGAGGTTTTGATGAGAACGGCAGGTGAGCCACTAGCATCAGCCGAAACGCGCCACAGGCCTGCTGCGGCCCAGCATCTCCCTTTTAGTGCCGCTTTGGTCAACCTACCTTTCGCGGTGTCGTAGATACCGAAGTAGGCAGCTCTGTAGATGATGATGCCCTGGACAGAGACATTGAAGCCCTGGTACAGGCCCCTGAGGCCATCCGACCGGAAGATTTTGACCAGGCAGTCACCGAGGCCGCTGAACTCCCGGTCAGCCCCGGCTTTACCCACATCCGCTGCCAGGCGGGTTCGGGCAAAGTCAAGGGGGTAGACGAAGCACAAGGAGGTAGCAC